GTGATGTGGCATTGGCCTATTTGAGATGTTAGTGCATGGCGGTTAATATGCTTAGCATCATCATCCCTGGCCGTTGATTGACTGAGGACGAAATTTGCTTGATTTATGACGGATACCGCGCGTAATAAAAAACAGTGGCTTTGCCAAAGGACGCTTGGGGAAGGATATTCATTGTAGGATTGATGAAGGACTCGCTTTAATAAGGAGTGAGACTGTTTCCAATGAGGAGAAAATGCGTAGAAATGCACAGGAAGAGAGCAAGGCACATGGCACGCAGGCAACGCGAGGTGAGCTGAGCTGACGAGGAGCTGACGAGGTCAAAGGGGTGATCAGACGTAGGATACAGTGGAGAGAGTACGTGTTTTAGCGCACAAGCTGCATTACATCTGGGACGGCAGGGGGGAATTGCAAGGGATGGCATGCTTCCTTTGACTATAAATTCTCCTCCGAGCCCTATCTGCCCTAGGCCAGCATCCTCTACCTCTATTCACAGGTGGATGAATCGCACGATGAATATTCCAAGGTCCCACCCCGGCCTCGACAGGTTGCCTAGATCTGAAGCCAGGTACTTCGACAACTTCATCCAGCCATACATAGTCGTATGAAAGCTTTGGAGAGGCCAGAACCGTGCAACACCGCATCGATTGGCTTATGCAGGGTAAGGGGGGCAGCCCACGGGTCGAGTAAAAAATGTCCCCATTTCCAACACTTTGGCTACTAACCAACAAGATAAAACGGCTGTTCACAATAGAGATCGCGTCTAGCCTTTTTTTCCAAAGAGCAAATACTCATATGTGAACTTGCCATCTATCGAACTGGATCTCAACGGACAACTACGCGGCGATTTAGTCATACCACCGCAAACATTGTACCCACACGAAGCTCATCTACAAGCAAAGGAGTGGGATTGACGAATTTTCAACTGGTTACTCCAAGTCTGGCCGCCTACGAAGCATACCGTCGATACAGTAAAAGGAAGTCTATCACCAGGCCTATTACTTCAGTGTTGTAGCCTGTGATGGTCAAAAATGCTCGACCCCTATTCCAAACACGAAGAAGAAAAAAAGGAAAAAACAGCACTGTCGTCTCATAAAACAATTTTGAGCGGGTCTGTCATGTTTGAAATACAATTTGGGGCTTTTGATCAATACCTGCTACAAAAGACTTTCCTAGAAACCTCATAGGGGATAATTTGATGATGAAGTCATACATGTCAGCGATTCAAAAATGGCTGAATCGCCAAGTCTAAAATCGTCTTAGATCGAAAACAAGCCTCTCTGGACCCGGAAATAGTCAAAGCTAGCATCATTAGGAAGGCTGCATCGCTTTCTGAATATGTCCTAGTCGTCTACAGTATGAGAAAGCGAATATAGAGTCCTCTGTGTAATAAAGAGGCCAACTAAAAGGCTATTGGCCTAGTGACGTACGAAGCAAAAGCTGCCCAACTACTATGATCACGGCATCTCTAGATAAGCGGTGGCACAAGTGCATCGCTCACACGGGGGCTATGGCATATTGAGGCTCGGTTCAAGCTCCCAGGCTCGGAATCATGCAAGGGCATCAGATTCTCGGTACATAGCGACGTGATAGACCAATCATTCCTCGATAAGACTGGTCTCGGAGCATTGCAAATAGAGATCGAGGCAGAGAAAGAGGAAATTAGCGGGGATAATACATCCAGGGGCACGGATCCATGGTCAGCCTTATATACGGAGGTTGTTCGGTGACCTACTAAATCGGGACGTAGCTTACCTATACATAGACCTCATTCTATCGCTTTGGATTCTATCGCCTTGGATTTATAACAGGATGATACCATTCTCGACAGGCGAAGCTCAATCAAAGTGTTTGTTCCATGGCTCAAGTCCCTTCTGATGTAGGGCGTGCATCGGCGCTCAGGTTCCAGCTACATAACCCGACGGAGCAGTCTAATCCCACCACTTCGCCCACAAGCCGAGGCAAAAGCACAGTGCCACTCCTTCAATCGTGTAACAAAAGAGGATATATACGTTTCATTTACAGTCTCCAAGGCCGCGTCGCGATTCAAAACGCGTTGTCAGGCTGTTCAGGCTGTAAAGCTGATTGGTTATCGGAGCATATAGCATATAGCGAGGTTGCACGGCACTCCGGCACTGCCTCCTCATTCCGCGACCATTAAAAGCGATGGATCATTTCAGACGAATGAAATTGTAACTAAAAAATGCCTCAAATGGCGTGAGCATGGAGGGAACAATGCGCACCAAAGGGGAAACTCTGCTATGGTGGTTCTGTTGTGGGCTGAGTACAATACATACAGCCTTGCCGGCCATCTGATTAATCGAGGCAGTGCACGGAGAGAAGAAGGGCAGTGTTTAGCAGCCACACGCGCATGGCTGCTAGGTTCAAGGTTCAGTGCTAGTCATGGATGGAAATTGCGTCAAGAATGCATTGCGATTGAAAAGCGCTGGACCAGATCGATCATCTCTTGCGTTTAGTTCTGCCGCGAATCATCTCCGACATCTCAGACGCGCCCATTGGCGTGTCTTCGAATCAAAACATGGGCTATCGGCTATCGGTCGTCTTGGTATGTATCCTTCACAATTCTATTTTATGTCGCTCACAAGTCAAAATGCATAAAGTGACCTTTGTACTAGCGTGACAGGGACTGGCAAGGGGCAGTACTTCCCTCAATCCTAGATTCGAAGTTTACACGCACAAATTGTGTCCTCGTCTGACACACATTGCTTGGCTAACATGGTGGAGGGGTAAATATACGCGAGATGCTGTGCAGGGAGGGCTTAGGTCACATGGGGAAAGAGAGGAGGGAAAAGGGGAACTCAATCTCAACTGGGAGAGGTGCTTTGCTGACCCTTTCAAGCAATCTGGTCCGGCCTGTGCCTCTACCGCCCGCACTGGAGGACATCCTTGTCTCTGTAAGAGCCATTCAATCAAAGCCATGAAACTGCAGAGCAGTGCTCACACTCTGTATGGAAGAAGTGCAGGTATTATAGATAGGGGTGTTGGCCCAAGGTACAAGGCTAGATACAGGTAGGTCAGGGGTTGGCAGTTAGCTGGCCGAATTCAATTTGGACCGCCGAAACAAGGACTATGTGGCAATGAGAGATCCACAGCCAAAACAAACCCCCCAAAACGCATCCTTTGTGAGGCCACCAGATACCATCAGAAAGGAGACCGGTGTGGTGTATATCCGCTTCGCGTTCACCCCTGCTGCTGACGATTGCCCATGGTCATGCAACTAACGATGTTGGGTCGCTGCATTTCAGGGACAAATTGCCGGCACATCACGCCTGTGCCATCCAATATGCTCCTAATTGTGTCCTCCCTTGTTATCTTAGGGCTAGTTAGGGTTTCCCCCATGGAAGCTGACCTGAGAGGGCAGACACGCCCGCATCAGTTAAACACACCCTCCATAAGGAGAATGATGGCATCAGAGTTGCCCCAGGAGATGGGCTGGACAGCACGGACCCTCAGATTGCAGTCTGCCCAGTCTCCATTGGCGATGAGCACACCCTTCCCCTTGAGGCTGGCTGTGTGGTTTACCTGGTTCTATATTTTTCTTTTCTTCTTTTGGCCGCCTTGCTGGCCGCAGCCCCTGCGATTGCATACAGAATCCAGGGGGCCAGTTCTGCCTACACTAGGGTTTTGGAAGTGTTAGACTTGAGTTTGCCTTAATTTTATGTGAGCCGCCAAAATATTATAAATTGCTTTGCTATACCCAAGAGTCTCCGTAACTGTGTCTCTTCTCTATCATATCCTTTATCCCAGAATCTTTACCTCCATCCCAATTAGCCAGAACCTCCGTTATCAGAGAGCGAAACCAAGAACATGAAGCAAGCAAGCATCACCTTCAATATGAAGCACGTCATCGTTCCAAAGGGGTCAGCTCCGGTCAATAAACCAACCCGACCGGTGGTCGTGAGCCGCCACGGAACAATCTCGCTCAGCTCGACATAACTCTTGATGATTGAAAGGCCAGATGAAAACTCTACGATGTCATAGTCGTCAATGTCCTTGTACAGTCACAGTTTGTCGAGTTGTAACCCGTGCCCGGTTATGTCAAGCAAATGAGAGATATGTAAGAGTTACTACAATGAATACCCAACTCAATGGCATCGTTCACTAACTCATAATAGAGAAAAAAGGGGGAGGAAAACTACGTGGGGCTCGAGTTGGTAGCTAGTTAGGATCACGATGAATGTCAAATCAAAGCCGTCCAAGTCGAAAGAGAACATCTGGAATCGTGAACTATCCGAGTAATTTATCGATTGTGTTTGCGATTATAGTATCTATCGGCAAGCATCCTCCCGCAGTTGCTAACCTATTCAGGAGGTTGCCCTGGCTCCCCTGACCCCAGGAATCCAGATCGGATCTCCAAAAAAGCCAGTGTGTTTTTGGCAGGTGGCATGTGACTAATGAGATCAATAGGCTTGTATGATGGAGATCCGCAATCGACGGCTAAAGCACTGATACTCGCTACTCGCGTATAGTCGGCAGATTGATTATATGCGCGCAATTAGCCGTGAGCATGTCGTGCAGGCGGAAACCTCAATGACCAGCGCTGTTTGGCTCGGGGCCTGCTCCACCGCCTCGTGGCCAGCCAACAGGTATACCGGGCTCCTTGGTACCTGAGGATACTTAGATATCGTGAGACTGGACGCTTTGGGCACCAGCTCCCCACCCACCCTCCGTCCTAAGAGCCTCTCTCGATGTCGCGTTCGTTGAACTGGGTATCAGGGTTGGAAACTAGAGTCAGGCGACCACCCTCGTGGTTGGCCGCCTTATCGGGCTCAAGAAGCAAGTGCTTTTTGTCGGTGAAGGGCTGCATGAGGAGTATCTGCAAGTAATCGATCGAGGCAGTTGGAGATAACGCTTCTCTCTGAGATGATCAGCAACAGAAAAATATTTAATATCCTCCTTTGCCCCAGTTGAGAGCACAAGATAAACCAAGCCCAACATCAAACAATAGAATATAGAACTTACAATTGACCCCTTAACTAAAAATGCCTTCTACCAATCCTCCATCAATTGGGATCGCAAGCCCCGCCAATGGGTGTGGACCTGATGAGCCGCTGGGGATACTACTTCAATCGCTCGGCGCTGCAGAGGCTGGACAGGCTGGGACTGAAGAGGTAGCACCCAGCGAGGGCGCTCGGCGAGATACCCAGGAGACTGGTCAAATTGGAATTGACAATGGAGCACCAGGTAAGAGTGTTCAAAGGAGCGCGAGGGGTTATAAAATGGTTCGGGATGCTGACAGTAAAAAGGTGTCGCAGCAGAAGCAGACTGGGGACAGTCTGGTACGTTGAACACCCTTGAAATAAGAGGGAGAGCTAACACATCGATAGTCTTCTCCAAGATATTCTATGCGGCCAGTCTCCAAGGCATGGATGACGCTTACCGGGCTATCAGAGTCAATCCAGAGCATGTTGCAGTGGTGAGCTTAACCCAAGCTCATCTTGCGACTGAGTGTCGCAAGCAAGTGTCGGCTGCCTTCGAATCGGGCGATAAGGAAGCCTTGCTTCAACTCATTCATGAATTAGGTGACAAGGTCGTCTCGCAACGTGAGTATCCAGTGCAGATAGAATGTCTGATGGCCATCTAACACCTGATGTAGTCGACCTCGCGCATAAGTGGCATGTCGTCGAGAGCCTTTCGCATTTGTCCCACCGTGACCATGAACGCCTTGCGCAATGTTTCGCCACGGAGAACGTCGTCGACGATGAGTGGACTGACCAGAATGGGGAGTGGAAAAAGATGCATCGCAAGCCGAGAGTTGAGGATTTGGCACGATCTATCACTTTGCCTATTATTAACAACGACCGGATTCCCTCGTGGCTGGTACGTAAAGACGACCCAACGTCGCTATGTGTGCCCGATAATCGCTAACTCGAGTTGTCGACGAACTTAGATGTGGCTGTTCCCCGTTGAAGAAGTCCAAATCGGCCCCGAGGTGGGAAATCGGGTGCAAACCGCAGGGTTGGTCAGGACCTTGACAACGTCGTTTATCCTGGGAGCTAGTATCGTAATCGGGACACCTATTGTTGTTCTGGCGACAGAAGCTTTTCCAAAGCCGGCGAATATTTCTGTTCTCGCAGGTTCAGCTCTTGTCTTTTTTCTCTTACTCGTCTGGTGGTTACCGGAACAGGACAGTGACCACCTACTACTTTATGTGCTTGCCTACCTGGCTGTTCTCGTTAATGTTAACGTTGGTGGGAATTGATTCAAGGCTTTGTCGATGGCTATGCTCTATGTGTAAGGTCGAGAAGGTGGTGTCGATTGGTCTCGTATGACAACGGAAGCCGTGTTAGAAGATATAGTATCTACCTAGTTTCAAGAATGTCAGTTAATGTCAAGATAAATGTTCCAGGGACTGACTTGCCAACACCATGAAGACTGTAAGATCTTGATGCTTCTGCTATGGAACGTTGAGATGTTGTTCTGGGTAGGCATGTTGGAGTAAGCACAGAGGCGACGGGTACTCCCTCGGCGAGGTGCCATCCCCGCCTCAAGGTGGCTGGCTCCTGAGGTAAGGTACCAAAGTGGCTCGCATAGGTACCTACCAGTCAGGTAGGTAATACAAGTTAAGTGGTAATGGAAGAGGACTGCTTGAAACGGACGAGGAGCAACAAGCGAGTCTTGATCAAGCCGGGCGAGTACAATCCTTGAACAGCTGAACATAGAAGCGGCAGGTACGTAGCGTCTGTGCGGTCTCCTCACTCGGCAGTGCACGCTACATGTCTGGGGTGAATCCAAGTCGACACCGTTGTGTACAGACGGGACATGGGCAAGGGTTATGGTTATGATTTCACGGAGGCGTTTTGTTGTCACCTTGGCTGTATGCTATCTACAATGCACTTTGTTTTATAAGGTGTAGATAATTACTATTTCCACTTCCATCTGCATCTAAAATTTGCAGGAGAGCGCCCAGTCAGGGCATCTTCCCCAATAACTGGTACCTACCTGGTGATTTACTCCGTCGTGCATGCATGCTGGGTCCAGGGGTTTGTTTATGTGATATGCGTTGCCCTGCTAATCACGACACTAATGGATGTATCATGTACTTTTGCTAACAAAAAACAAACTTCGCAGGTACATACCTCGCTGTTCATCGCAAGTTCTATAGGTCTAGCCAAAATAAATACTTATACATGCATGCCTCGCTTATCTTCCGTGGAACTGTGTTCCTTTCCCCCTCCTTTCCCTTCCCTCAACTCTCATCTATGCGCGTTTCTCATCCATACAAATCACTTAGTCTCAGTCAACACCAAAACAGTCGCCGCGACCATCTCCAGGATTCTCGAACGAGCGGCCTCTAGCCTTCTAATGATAGGCTGAGCACCCCGGCCTAAAAACTCTGCCAGACCGGGGTGCCGCAGTCAACATCTTTGAAGCTCAACAGATTCAGCGAACGACCTGTCCCGCTTACCATGCAAGGCAGACAAAGCTTGCCGGGTTTGCACTGACCTCAACGACTCAAGCACGGACAAAGGACGCCTTGTCCCAACCTCCTCCGTCGCGTGCAATCTCCCGAACACTGGAATCCCTCCTCCCGCAGGAAAAAGAAACGCAAAAAACATTGTCATTTGTACAAATCCCATTGCCAATATCATCACTGCTTGCAACTTACCAACATGGCAGGCATAGAGAGGATAGACAGCGCCTCGGAGAATCTGCTCCATTCTGACTGGACGAATGGCCACACAACCGCAAAGCGTGATGATGGAGATCACGTGATCTCCCTGGGTCGTTGCCCTGGCAGGTTCGCCGGCCGACCGTGGGTTGGGTGATTCCAGAAAGAATGGATGCTTGACAATCTGCTGGGCTCCTGGGACTCAAGAGCCCATGGCAGTCTCTTGCGCTACGGCAACTTCCCTGACGGGCGGCTGTTGAGAGATGTCATTCCATCTCCCCCCCCTCGTCGTTCTGATCTACGGCCCGAGCCATCGAAGGCTAGCCGTGATTGACATCAATATCAGTATGCGCAGACATGTCGCATGCTACTAACCTAGCTCTAGACCGCTTCCTTCCAGCGAGCGTTCGCCTTGGGCATGCTCGTGTTGGCGTCATACTCCGAGTTCGATCCACACGTTTGCCTTCAATCGCCCCCAACCTCCAAGCTCCCAATCGCCATCTCCTACGTGTCACGGACGAGCATCTGCACCGAGCATAGCCTACATGTCGACGACGTTGCGGACGATGAATGGTCTATCTCGTCCGGAGCTGATCATACTCGGTATGATTCACTTGTCTACTGAGGGGGATGCAACCACATCCTCAACCGGCGGATCACATCGTGCGTCGTCGCCAAGCAGCACAGCCGACTCTTGACACTTCACTCCTCCATGTACTCGTATGTACCTGGCGGGTTTCGATACAAGCGGCTCGGGCTCCCCTTAAGAGCAGCCAATCGATTGACCGGCCGGCAGCGATGACGCCCATCGCCTGCATCGAGCACTCGCAGCCCAGCATCTACCTGCGCGAATCGGCCCCCACGGGGATGCGGCTGACCCAGTAGCTCGAGTGATTGGGCATCCGCTGATCAATATTCCACTCTCTCTGGTCTTCACCGCCTGCACAAAGCTCGAGGATTGCGTGGCCGAAAATGTTGAAATGGGCCGATGAGGGACTCGAGATGCATGTGCTCAAATCCATCTTTGGGCCGCAACTGCTCGGTATGATGGGAGGAGAGCATCTCGCTCCTTTGGGTCGGCTCTTTTGCGCTGGCGAGCTGCCCAACGCAGGTTCTGCAAGAGGAGCGGCAACCGCTAAGGTAGGAAGGTAGGTCTGCCTCTCGCTGTGTGTGCTAGGCTTCATTCTCTGGCAGCCCAGCGGTTGAAATGCCATGAACACTTTGCCCACGTTTTGCACCAGAGATCACTGAAACGAGTGAGCCAACTACTTGTAGCAATTGAGGCTCGTAGATATAACGCCTGTAATGGCAAAAGATGATGGATTTGTAGTCGTTTTCATTAATATTGATCTACTCAACATGCCACATGCCACATCTAACCCAAACACTCTGCGCCTAAACATCAAACATTGACATCATTAAATTTGCCTCGCATTAAGCACCATTTCGGTAAACCTGTGCGCCCTGGTTCCTGAACATGATCGTATCTCTCCGTTGCAAGATCATCAAGGCTCTGTTCAGCGCTTGCTCGCTGTAGCCTTTGCCTTCGACCATCTCCCGCCTCAGTGTGGCCAGGCTGGTGCTCCAGCCGATCGGCAATCGCCTCTTCAATTCTGCTTCGACTCTGGTCGCCTCGTCGTTCAGCTCTCTGCTTCCCTGGTTGCTGCCTTGATTGACGGCATCCATCGTGGAGCAGATGAAAAGACGAATGGCTTCATTGACGTGCCTGACTTTGGCAATTGGTTCCAATTCCAGCTTCGCCAGCGACTCGGTGATACGGACAATGGCCTCCAGCTGACGCACGGTGATGGGGATCGATGAGCGGCTGTTTGCCTCCATTTCAGCTGCATGAACTTGTCGGCGAATGGTGACGAAATGGGATGACAACATCTCGGCGGCTTCCTTGTCCAGGCGAGGAGCCATTCGGCTGCAATCATAGTCAGTATGCCGTTATAGATTTATGTCAAGGGCCGAAGCACTCACGTTTTACAGTATGTGATGTATCTCTTCATCTTCTCGACGGAGATTTCAGCCTCGGACGCCTCCTCTACGCCACCTCCAGAGTGCAAGCTCAAGACGTGCTTGGCCATGGTCTCATCCTTGGCTCTGGAGTGCTCGTCCTTGACGATGAAGATCATATCGAAACGAGACAGAATGGTTGTTTGAAAATCGATGTTCTCTCCGGGCGTTTTCATATCATCGTATCGTCCGAAGATGGGATTGGCTGCGGCAAGAACAGATGTTCTGGCATTGAGAATCGTCGTGATACCAGCCTTGGCAATTGAAATTGTCTGCTGCTCCATTGCTTCGTGGATAGCAACACGATCTTCATCGCGCATCTTGTCGAACTCGTCGATACAGACAACACCACCATCGGCCAGAACCATTGCACCACCTTCAAGGTAGAACTCCCTCGTTGACTGGTCACGCTGGACTGAAGCGGTCAAACCTGCAGCGGAAGAACCCTTTCCTGACGTGTAGATGGCAACCGGCGCCGCCTTTTCCACGAATTTGAGCAGCTGCGACTTGGCAGTACCGGGGTCACCCAAAAGCAGCACATTGATGTCTCCTCTGAGCTTCATGCCGTCGGGAAGGATCTTCTTGGACCCGCCGAGCAGAAGACAAAGAATAGCCTTTTTGATATCATGGTTACCGTAAATGGAAGGGGCAATGCATCTGGCCATCTTTTCGTAAAGGTCCTTACTCTTACTCATTGACAGAAACTCTTGCTCCTCCTCTTCTGTAAAGATCATGTCGCCCTTGGCACCCTTGTCCAGGCTGGTAGAAATGCCGACCGCCCTGAGGTAGGGTGTTCGGATAGCCACAGCTCCGCTTGTTGACGAGTTCTTGGACGCCTTGTTCTGGTAGATGGAGAAGATGCCCATAACAACACATCTCGATCCAGGCACAACGCGGTTGGTCAGGTATCGATCTGCCGACACCAACACATGTCGAGGCAGTTCTCCCACCGGCACCTGGTCGGGGGCCTCTTGCAGCTTGATGATCTGCTGGTCGACAAACTTGGACTTCTCATGGAGAACAAAGTAGGGATCAAGCGGACACTTGGGCGTTTCTTTATCTGCAGGTCCACGCTCTCGACCGCACTGGCGGGGGAGGCTCACGCCGGTGAAGCCGCCGAGAATGGGAATGCCAGTCTCGTACCCGCAGGATCTGCATTTGAGCTCGAGCACTGTCGCTTTGGACGACATCACAGAAGCGCCAATGACAATTCCGGGTACTCGCACTAGTCTTGCAATCGTCATCGAGTCGAGGTTCCTGATGGAGACATCGTCGGCGTTCGAATGAAGCAGCAGCTGGTGGCTGGGGATCTCGGCCTTGGGATCGTGAGGGAAGAGGATCCTATGTGTACATTTTGCCAATGCAACTTCGAACTGTGACATGTTAGGCTTCTGCCGGCAAAGAGCATGCTCGTGAGGGGGTAGCCTACAAGTGGGATAATGTCGGCAGGCTCAGTTGCGAGCCGGTGTGCCAGCTCTTCGTTGTAGGAGATCAGGTCGTTAATGTTGATGTCGCAGTAATATTTCTTGAGTAGCGCATTCTCTTTCAGCTGGTCTCTGTGTCCAGGTTAG